CGCGTGTTCAACTGGGACAATCACTAATTTTTCAAGCATTTCCTCTAACTGCTTATTGACCTTGCTTGTTAAAGGTATTGGTACAACCCTATGGGCAGATATAGCATAAGGGACTGCATTCTCCTTCATTTTTATCTTGTGCTCTCCTTTCATATTTCCCAATCCTTTAAATAAATTAGGGTACTTAGTAACCCAGTCAATATCTGATGAATCTACAGAAAAGGTCCTCTTCACCAGGTTCAGCTCTTCACAGGAACGTCTGCTAAGAAGTGGAAAACTGATCTCCTCAGAAATATACGCATGATTATAAACCGATACACCCTTATGTTCAAGCTTCAGCCTTAAAGTTCCCAAAATATTTATTCGTTCTTTCTTCTTTGCGCTGAACACAGGGGATTTGCACTATTATAGAGACAGAGTCTTAAAAAAAATCACCAAGAACTCCTACTGAAATCATGGTTACTCTTGGTTTCCACAGCTTGCTTTTACCTCCTGGACCCAGGCTTTGTCATTGTTGTCTATATTCCAGATGAAAATCTCAGGAGCCTGTAGGTCTCCACAGTCTGAAACTTGCTGTTCGATTTCTTTAACGACGTTTTTGTTTATTCCCATCCACTTTTCGCGGGAGGGACAGCATCGAAAAAATGTCCAATCTTGGAACATTTGTCACATTTGGCTTTCCTAGCAGGACATTCGGCCAGTTATCCGTGCCAATTATAACCACATTTCCTACACTTCTTTCTCGTTGCATCCTCGATGTATTTCTGGTCACAAACTCCTTCAGTCCGATCCCGTTTACCAACTTGTAATGACTATTTATTTACCACAAAAACAGTAGTAGTGGCGAGTTCACGTTTTTGGCGTTCTAGCTCCTCGTGTTGGCGCAAGGTATTAATTGCTTTCTCCAGAGTCAATTGAGAGTTCAGCTGGAGTCTATCACTTAGAGCCTCCTCTTTCATACCAATAATGAGGACGAGAAGCATCATCTCATCGTTCAGTTCACCCCATGCACACGTTTTCGCAAGGCCATGCAAATCTGTTATGCATTTTTGAGATGGATTACTCCCTTGCTTATGTCTCAAATTTTGTATTCTCTTATACATTATATTCCGTCTTGGCACAAAGTATCCATCAAAGGCTCTAAGAGCCTCGTCATATGTATTAGGTCTTGTTGAAAACGAATCAAAAATATCTTCACCCCTACTACCCATTGTAAACAAAAGTACGCCAATTTGCCAAGCGTTCGAAGTGCTATCCAGACCGCAACCCCGTCTGTAACTTTAAAAGCGATTCCTCCAGGAATGCCACTCATTCGGAGTAAAAGATAACGTTTCCGGAGTTGGTAACGTGAGATTGATCATCGGAGTATGAGTACACATAACTGCATTATTTTCTCGGTTCGTATGTCCCAATGCAAAACCTCGTGACTCATCTTATCGTTCTCGTCTTTCTAGAATCCCTTTCTGAAACGTAGTTGAGTTCACTTTGGGCGTCGTCCTCACTTTTGTCCTCATACCTTTGCCTCCAAGAAATTAGTTTTTTTTCTGCCCTTACTTGACATTATGCGTGGTTTTAGACTTTCAGTTCGATAAAAATCCACTAAGCTGTTACCATGTTCTATTTCTAATCCAAGAATATTAAACACACATCATGTTTCATCAAATTCTATTTCACAAATAAACCAATGTTTACAAAAACATGTTTACAAAAATCATCTGTCAACAAAACATATTTAAACATAAATCTTACTAATATTATAAATGTGAAAGTTTGTGTGTTTGTTTGTTTGTTTGTGTTTTTGAAGTTCAATCATGCATAAGCCACTGGACGGATTGGGCTGAAATTTGGCATGATGATAGCTTACATTCCCGATTAACATATAGGCATATTCTTATCTCAAAAATCTTTTCGGGCTCCGCCCCAGTGGCTCTATAATCCCCCATGTTAACCTTATGATTATTCATATTTAAAGGGATTTAAAGAATTTAGTCAGCTGTTTCAACTAAAAAAGTTGGTTCTATGATATGGAAAACCATTAAAAAGTTACAAGATTTACCAACAGGTGGCAGCACTATATTTTTTTGCATTTATGAAAACAGCTAATTTGAACTAAGCAGCAACAAAAAAAACTGTGATTCGCAATGAGAACTGTCAAAGTAGGATTGTTTACAGTTATGTTTATGTTTTTCATTTCATGAATAATTTGTGATATTTTGCGAATTGTTGATAATTCGTATCTCTCTATTGTTTAGGTGAAGTGTTAGAACATTATGGCTATGGTAGATTTGTAATACTATAGAATACTGTAAATAAAAAAAAATATTTTATCAAACTGTGTCCTCCTTTATTGCAAACGCAAAGCTTGAGTTTGAGTGCAATAAGTATTTTATACTTATATTCCAACCCCGTGCGAAGGACGGGTACTCTGCTAGTAAATCATGGTAACTAAAAGAACAGACTTATTACAACAAAAACAATACAGAAAGCACAAATTACTTTAGCATTTCACCAAAGTCATCACCTTACTTCCAGAATACAGAATTTTTCTGCAACGTATTCTCTTGGATGCATTTTAAGAGCTCCTGTCTTTCCGGGTCCTTCATGTTGGTCATTTTTAATTTCCAAAAGCCGTTTATCAGAACAAAGCTATCGTCTACAAACATTTTCTTCTTCCAGATTCTCGATGATCTCATTCCCCCGATCCATTGGTGAAGTTTCAGGGCTTCTCGATAGTAAATCTACAGTTTAAAAAGTTTTTTATTTATACAATATTTTCTTTGATTTCAAAGGAATACATCTCTTTTTTTCCATCTTCAAATAGATCTTATACATCTAATTAATCCATTTATTAAGAACTAATTTATTGATTATGTTTTCAGTTTTATCTTATCCTTATTCAATTAATTTAATTTAAAAATCACAAATGACCGCATAACGGATCGTCATACCTTTGAATTAGAGAATAATAAAAAAAAAGAGATATGACAAAATGTTAAATTCCAATATGGCCGCTAACTTTGATTTTTCTTACGGAAGGCCCTATACTTTACGATTGTTTTAAGTAGGGGCAATATAGCAATATGACCTCACTTTAGGCACGTTTTCCCCATAAGAATAACACGGTGGGCATTTTTTGCCACTTTTTTTAATAATCCTGCCCACGGCCTATACTTACTCTTACTCCTGTGGCCATTGGAAACCTAGGTGGTTTTTGGCCTCGCCAACCATGTACCTCCAAGCTCTTCTATCCTCTGCCAGCTCCAAGTCTGCTCCCATTCCTCTCAAATCCTTCGTCACCTCATCAACCCATCGCATTCTTGGTCTACCTAAAGGTCTCCTTCCTTCTGGTATACCTCTGAGTACCATCTTTACCATCTCTCTCTCACTTCTACGGTTAATATGGCCCATCCATCTCAACCTCCTACTCTTAACTATTCCCACAATATCTGGTTCACCATATAGTTCTTTAAACTCTCTATTTTTCCTTATCCTCCATGAATTTCCACGGCCTGTACACCCCTATACAAATGTTCTATACTATTGTACAACTCTATTAACATTTCAAATCCATATCCATTCGCATGTATATTTTCAAAATCATCGACTTGACAGCGCGAGTTTTGCACCCGAACTCGGGCGCACTCCCGGCCGCGGGCACTGCCACAAGGGCTAAGTGAAGTTGTCACGTGACAAGGGAATCCCCAGGAGGTCACGTGACGGGGGAAAAGTCTATATATAGAAGTGACATTAGCATGATACCTCATTCTTGAGCATGAAGGCAACCTGTCAACATTGCTCCGCGTTGCTCTCCAAGAAGAGCCACTTAATCCACCACTTGTAAAGTTCTCTGGCAGTTCTCTACTCCTCTGTAGAGGTAAAAGAAACTTACGAAAACCTTTACCAAACAAAATTTACTTCAAAGGGGGAAAATGTAGCTAGGGTAGAGTACTTGCTTGATGGAGAACCTCTAGGATCGTGGAATAAGTGAACACCAGTGCCAGTATAATATTATGATTTAATAAGTCTAACTAAATGTGCACACATAAAATAAGTAAATAAATTAAAGATAATTGTTACACAGTGATATTATAATAATTCAGAATAGCAAAATGACAAATAAATTGAGATAATATAATTGAATATTTACATCCTATTTTGTTTTATACTCTGTTTCTTATACAAGGATATTTTAAGAAAATTTCCCTTAACACTTGCATTGTATTTAAAATATAAGTTGTAAACACTTGCAATGTCCTATCCTAAATCAAAACCAATATTTACATACAAGTTAGTTCATCCCTCTGATAATATATACTAACTAAACAAGCATTTAAAATACGTGTTAACGTGGTTATCACCCTAATTTTCAATTATTTACATATATTTGATATTGTCTCTATTATAATATCTTGGTGAAGAAAAGTGTTCATCAGTCTTGTACCACATCTAAGAAGAAACCGTCGGAAGTCCCGGATTGAGTAGGGACAGTGACTTAACAGGATAGCCTGAAGCACCTGTTAAGATCCTGACCAGACTCAAGATCACGAGGACACAACAACCCCACGGCTATCTTCAAGACCAAAGGCCACCACCACACTACCACGCTACCAAGGACCAAAGCAACCCAAAGAGGACGGCCCAGGACGAGCGACCGACGACTCGAAGTATCTTCACATACTTGGTCATAGCGTGCACAACTTGTATGTGAGGGAGAAACTCCATAAAATATAACAAAATCTATTTATAAATGAAATAAATAAACTATAAGAAAGATAAGGTAAATTTAAAGTAAATATATATAAATAGAGTAATTGAAGTAGAATTCATATAAATACCAACCCTCACTTAAACTCAAAGGGGTCAACCTAAACAAGAGCAATTTTGAAGTTTGAATAAAACAGGATTCAAAACGAATCCATACACGGACAGACTGTACACAAGGTTTACATTTTATCTGCGATTTATAAATTCTACACTACACCCCAGGTTGATCCACTTACCGCACTAAAGATCCAGGAAGAAGAACACTCTCCCTGGTCCTTAACTTTGGTTACGGCTCCCTTCATCCTCCAGTCTATACTATCGGGAATTTCCAGGGTCCCATTGGTCTTAAACGTAGCTTTTCTTCTCTGGCTGTCTTTATGCAGTTTGAAACCTTGGCCCATCCTGTGCACCTCACCTGACCTCTAATGAACATAGACATAGGGTTAGGCTGACAAAACTTCAAGTTCATTTTTCTGTTGCAGGTATAATATTTTTAATTCTTTACCTCTGCAAGTCACAAGGAAACCTGCTAAAGCGTTAGCGAAAAGTGTAAGGGATTGGCTGGCTGCAAACTAATTTTATTCCTTGTAGGAGTTTTTCATCTCAAATTATAATACAATGAAGAAAGAGAAATAAAATTGAAAAGAGATTAAATAACATTTAACCCTGCCTGCCCTGGTAATTTTCACTGGTAATTTCAGTGTAAGTGTAGTTTTAGAATTTTCCTATTTTTCCATGTTTAAAAAAAATTACAGCGTGTTATAGTTTTATTTACTTATTTATTTATTTTCCATGGTGTGCTTTTAGTGAATTTCCCATATGAGGTAATAAGCTACTGCCGCAGGTCTCATGGTTAGACCTAGACCCGGTACTGATTTACTTTGTCGTTTTGAGGTCCCTATAGGCCAAAAACAACATCCGTTCAAATTCATATATATATATATTTATGTATATATATATATACGAGATATATAAGTGAAATAATAAAAACCATAGTACCCTGAAATTAATTTTTATTGAAACTGATACGCATTTCGGTGCTAAGGCCAAGTTCACAGTAAGAGTTATAAAAGTATTGTAAACAAATAAAATAAATAATTTGTTAATAACACATATGTATTGAATTCATAGTAAATCTTGATTAAATGGTTAGGTAAATTTTTTAACATGTGAATGTGTAAGATTCTTCCCTTATTTGTCAGATTTTTTCATAAATTGGATTTTCTTTTTTGTTTTTGCATTATATTGAGAATTTGGTCGCCGTGTTCTTTTGAGCGTAGGTATATTTGCAGTTCTTCTTTTACATCCATTTTCCCCCTTAGAATATTGAAACACTCTTCTAATTTGGCATAATTATGATTATTTTCTAATATATGTTCTGCATAAATTGAGCTTTGGGATGCCTGATTGTTTGATTTTAAGCCGTTTAGAAATCAAACATTCTTCACAATTAGAAGAATTGTTCATAAATCTCACCGTGTAGTATGGTTACAACATACACTCTGATTGAATAACTATCCACCAAGGCAGCACCACAGTCGCACTTCGCACACCAATACACACTGGCCAAGTAGGCAACTGCCAAAACGGGGAGTCTCCTCGTTAAGTGCGTTATTTACTTTTATCTCTCTCCTATTGCCTTGTTCTACTTAAGGTCATCTCACGAACATGCACACAGAACAAATAGGCAAGCGACATAACGAGCGTTCGTCTATTTTGTTTGGCTCAACACTTAAGCCGGGTTTTCCTAGGAGCGGAGTCGGCGAGCGGAGAGAGGAACGCGGAGAGCGGACTCCACTTGTCTTAGGCAATTTAATGTTACTGTTTTCCTAGAAGCGGAGCGGAATGCCATGTTAATTTCAATTCCGCTCTCCGCGTTCCTCTCTCCGCTCTCCGCTTCCGCGCCTAGGGAAACCCAGCTTTATGGCATTTCTAGGCAGGAGGACTTCTTCCACGCTTTCAGAGTGACAACTTATAATGTATGAAAATTGAAAAATGTAATTTATAACAGAATACACATACTATTGAAGGAAACTTTTACTACAAAGTATATTTTCAAGAATATGTAACAATATGCTTATATAGGGTGCGGCAAAAAAAACTATATATTTTATGCAACGCACTGCTCAGCGACAGGTCGTCGGAGAGTGGTGGGGTTGGGCTCGTTGGAAAGCCTACTCGATGCCATTATCTGTGGTCATAGATCAGTGGTCACCAGAGCATCGTGCGTTTGTTATCGAGTCGAATTTAAAAAGTATTGATTCAGTCATTGCAACTCAGCGGCAGTTCCATGCATTCTTTTAATTAGGGCAACATGTATGTATCATTACTTTAAAATTTGACTCGATAAAAAACTAACATTGCTTTGGTGACCACTGCTCTATGACCACAGATAATGGCATCGAGTAGGCTTTCCAACGAGTCCAACCCCACTACTCTCAGACGACCTGTCGCTGAGCAGTGCGCTGCATAAAATATATAGTTTTTCTTTGCCGCACCCTGTATTTGATTACAAATTCAATGTATAGTACTGTATTAATGAATAACAATATAAAAAGTATTTATTGGCTCCGTTCAATTTTGTGAAAACTTTTTATTAACATGATATTGATGAACATGATCTTATCTTTATATATTTAATAAGAAGATGAATTTTGTGATAAATGTTTCAAAGCTATCACCCAACTATTCGCCACTTCCAAGGTGTTGTTGGATTAAACTAAATAACCAGGAGTTACTTAGTGAGTGGATAATATATGTTCTAAAGAGTTGCATGGGTTGTAAGGAATGGCACCTGCATTCACCTGTATGATTATTCAAGGTTGGTGATCAATAAATATAATCTAAAGTTCTTGATATTATTGTTAAACACTTTTTAAATCAAAATTAATTTTAACATAATTAGTTTGGGAAGGATTATTTCCATTTAAAACAGGGATAACCATCATCCTGACTGACTGTATTTTTTTAATGTGTTTTAGCATCACTGGTTTTTAAAATTCCCTGCATTGTAATTAAAAGAAACATTTTATCATAAAAATTATTCGCTTAATTATTATTCAAACTAAAATATCTGACTAGTAATTTAATTTTTAATTTGCTGTCATGTTTTTTTACGTTATGAATCCTCTTAGTAAAGCTGGGGCTTTTTTTGGAGAGGAGGGAAAACACTTTTACGCACACAGGTAACCAGCCTATAGTAATATTATACAATAGTGAATTTATCAGACTACTCACTAAAACACCCCCTCTGCTCTGTTGGACACAAACCTGGAATTGCTTGTCACATTACTTCAAGTCAGGCCAACACGTGACCTCAGTCCTCATGACTTGCACCGTTTCTGGCATTTATATTTTTTATGATCTACACCACATCCTTGTTACGGTCGAGCTTCTTGGCACGGAGAACACCCTGGATGTAAAGTGACACACAGGTCCAATTGTCCTCAACCTCCATCATCATCGGTATGACTGTGTCCACCGACAGCAGTCCTACGAACTGTTGAGCCTCCATCGGGTCCTTTCCCAACGCTGACAGTGGAAGAAAGCATGTTCCAGGTCATCGGTAATGCCTGGGCAGTATATGCAATCAGGTGACACGGTTTTGCCCATCCTGAACAAGTACGACCGGAAAAAGCCGTGACCCGTCAGAAATTGGGTGAGGTAGAAGTTCACCTCTCCGCAACACCGATTAACCCAAGGTTGGACTTGCTGCATCAGTCGCCTGTTCCCAGATTTCCATGGCAGGTGCGTGTGCGTTCCTCCGTTCTTGCCTGGTCCTCCCCACGGCGGCTAAATTGCTAATTGATGATAAATTGCCTTCCTTTCCGCCGCCAAAAAAATTGACGGGGATGACTCCAGCAACCACCAGGATGGCGGGTTCGGACACTGTTCGATAAGCAGTGATGCAGCCCTTAGTGCTGCCTGACACTGCACTCGGGCGAGCCGCATCCTATATATCTCCTTATTGAGAGCGTCTGCCCACACTTCCGCACCGTACAGGAGCACGGAGTAGACTGCAGACTTCAACAGCCTTCTGCAGCTGGGCCGTGGACCTCCGACATTGGCCATTAACCGGCTAAAGGAAGAAACCGCTTTAGTGGTGTCCAACGAGTGGTTTGGACCTCAACGTTCCCCACCCTCAACGGCACGATGTTGTCTGTCATATGTTTAAATAATCAGATGATTATTGTTGATATTGTTATTGTTTACATTTAATCTTTTGCGTTGAATTAGTTCTAGAATAAAGTTAACTAATTATTTTACGTGTATTTTGTATATTTTATGAAGATAAACCAATGGCGACGAGTGATAAAAGTGAAAATGAAACTAGAAAATTAAAACAGCAAAGAGGAATCATAAAATCTCAAATTACAAGGACTTTACATGTGCTGAAAACCAAAGGTTTGTCTATATATGATGCTCTGGGCAGACAAACTCTACTGGATGAAACGTGGAATAGATTCTCCAAGTTACATTAAGAGATTATAACAAATACAGACAATGAAGATGAAATTATCGTACAGATGTAGAGGAAACATACCTCGAGGCAAGAGCTTTATTTTAACCATTCTTTGTCACTATCAAGCAAACAGAAGTACCTAGAAAGGAATGTTTCTAGCGAATTACACGATCCTTATAAGTTGAACATACCGAATGTGAGTTTCACACCCTACACAGAAAATGAAACCTTTCGGAATTTCCTAATGCGGTTTAAAAATTTCTTGGATCTAAAACAAATCACAGAGCACAAAACCAAAACACAACTGTTTGTTAGCACTCTTACACCCGTAATGCATCAGGCATTATGTGACACAATTGCTCCTGAGACACCAGGTGACAAATCGTATGAAGAACTTTCAGATATACTGCAAAACTGTTTGGAACCTACTCCAAGTGTACTTGCTAATCAAAATAGGTTCATCAGTAAAGTTCAAGATACTGAAGAGAGAATTTCTACTTACGCTCGAGAATTAAAACGTTTGGCAATTGACTGTGACTTTAAGTTTTACAACTGTGAACATTCAGTCTGCGATATGTTCTTGAAGATGCAAATCATTCGAGGATTAAGAGATAATGAAGTGAGAGTTAGGCTTCTTCAGGAAAAAGGAAATAAACAATAATTTAAGGAAGTGGTATAAATGGCTATTTCTATTGAATAATCAAAACTGGAAAGTTATGCAATAAAACCTAAGTACTCTTATTACGTTACAAAACAAACTAAAGATGTTAACTTTGTAAGTAAACAACCTGGGTTAACAAGAAAGAGTAGAAATTAAATCAAACCGTATATTACATTTCAAGATTTAAGAGGTAAATGTTACAGATGCGGCAGTGCTCAACATAAAGCTGATACTTGCAAGTTTAAAAATTAATTTTGTAGGAAGTGTAATAAGATCGGACACATTGCGAATGTTTGTCT